TGTATAAGAGAAGATGTAACATTTTTCGATAACTTTAGCAATCTTTGTGCAGACGCTATAGAAAAAAATGTCGATGGACAAATGTTTGATCTGAAACCGCATATAATGCAATACTCATTTGATATATTTTTAGGTGAGAATCGTAATGCGTGTGTGTGCACTTGAAAAATCTTATCTGTATAATCTGATTTATAACGAACTTTAATATCAAATTTCTGTTACGATTTATGCTATGATTAAATGTCAAAAGTTGATAAATGTTAATTCACAGCGTCGGTTGTGGGTATTCAGAAAACGGCGAATAAAGATGAAAACGACCTATTACATTTGGGGTATAAAGATGGAAACGAGCTATTACATTTGCAGAAGAAGTATGTAACTTTAATTACACATTATTTCATATGTTGAATTCGATAATCCATAATTATTTCAGATTATTCGAACTCTCATGCAGCAGATCATTAAAACCGTGGCTACAGTTGGAATGGATTTTTTCTCTGACTAAAAACGGAAAAGAAACATATACCGCTCAAAAGATTATGCTGGATTTCATTTACAACGTAAAGTTCAAATGTTTTTTGGAAAATAATTGATCATATAAATTGATTTATTGAGTTTATCATATAAATATAATTTATGCGGTCAAAGTAAATACGCGCATTTTTAGGATCTTTAGCTTTTATAAGTAATGTAATAAACATGCATTCTAATGCGTATTCATATGCTGTTCACGAACTAAAGTTCGCAAATTTGGTACATAAGCGGTAGTGCGTATTTAATTACCATACTGGTGTTTGATCTTCAAAAATAATTTTATTAGTAGTTGTAAATTCCGACATTTCTTCAATTTTTTAAAATATTTCCTGATTTCAGTTTCTGCTGCAGCACTTTAAATGATTCCAGCATTACAACAATTCACTTGCGTTCATGACAGTTAGGGAACTTTTGGCCAACAGTAAATTATCATGGTCAAACATTCCTTTTACTCACTAAATCTTCCTTTCTGTAATATTCTTTTACTCGTAAAAAAATTTTTAATATTTTTTTGTATTTAAAAAAAAACGTGGAAAATTTTTTTAGAACTGTAATAGCAAAGTGAATTTGAAAAATATTACAAAGGATAGAAGAAGTGCTAGAATTTACATATAGCATATATTAAAAAATGGATTACTTTAAAGGTCATAATTCAGCCTTAAAATATTTATTAAACTATGTCACAAATGCACCAATTTTAATATAAGACATTATTATTGATATTTTTATATAATTTTGTGTTTTTGTAATAAGAATAGATTTTTCATTAAGGAATATAATTTGCATTTTTTTTACAAATTATTTCAATAATAATGTCATGTTAATAATAATTCAGTAATGTTAATAATAGTACTGTCCACATTATATACATGAATGTGCTTTTTAATATAGATATCACCAGGAAAGGCGACAAACCGTACTGTTTCACAATATAACAATAATTACAATGTAACAGATAATTTCCAGGAAATAAAACCTATTTTTAAGAATTATTGGGATTATGTGGCGCGAGATGATGTTACGAAATTCCATGCAGTGAGCGAAGAGAACTTCTTAGACGATCTTTTAACTTTTTTTTCTACTGTAATTTGATTTATTATATAAAAGTTTCTGTTATCCAAATAAATTTGTATTACAATTAATTCATGTTTTGCAGATTGTAAATAATATTACGGAAATAACATCCTTTACTATGCTTATGCTGGCAACACATACAGATGTACAAGTTAGTGAAATTATTACAGCACAATAAGCACATTGTATATACAGAAACATATTTACAGCTGCGGGTTGTAAAAAAAAAAACAATTTAAAACGATAAAAATTTTTCATTTTATTGTATTTTATATTCTGGTAGAGTAACTTTTTCTCTCTCTCTCTCTTTTTACCTATCTATCTATCTTTTAATAATCGGTTGTTTAGCTTATTGTTTAAATTTATTGTTTCACTTTAATTTTTGAAAAATATTATATAACTTTCTGTATTTTAGATTATGTGTTTTCGTTTTATTTCCTAGGAAAAACTGCGACAGGAAATATCAGCCACATTCGATAATGATAAGGTTGATGCCCAACGACTGTTAAACATGCAATATTTTCAAATGGTGTTTCAAGAGACTTTAAGATTGTTTCCTATATCACCTATCATTATGCGTCAACTTACAGGAGATATAAAACTTGGTATTTTTATAACACACACATAGTTTATTGAGTCAATATGGGCGAAATTAGGGTAAATTAGGTAATAGATTAATGTAATAATACTTCATCAAGTTACGAAAAAGAGTTTTACTGATTCCAGAATCGTGTACTTTGCCGGATGGATGTTACATTATGATTCCAATATTTGTCATTCATCGTAACCCTGCGTATTGGCATAACCCGCTGGAATTTATCCCCGAACGATTTTCGGCCGAAA